GTGTGTGTGTACAGTACAGTAATGTTCATGCTGTGTAATTTATGGCTGTTTCATAATGAGAAGCTTTCGGTGAGGGGCCGTGCAGAGGATCAAAGGGTCTGAGAGGTCTGAGGGGGGCTCTGGTTGCTGAGTTCGATGCCGAGGTGTTCACCGTGTGGAGCATCATTTATAACGGGGACTATGGGATGTTGTGACAGAGAAGGAGAGACGTGCAGAGACGACCTGTGGGACGTCTTCTGCTCTGTGTGCAGGTTTAAGACCTGTTGGTATAGTGGGGTCATGGATATTCAAATGCCTGAAGAAATGACAAAATATACATTTTTGAACTGGAGGTTGGCGTTCAGTATCGAGAGGAAGGAAGGTTCGACAAACAATGAATTTAAAGGTTACTTTAGTGATAGTTAAGGAGGAGGAGAGAAATCATGTGTCATGTGTTGTACAAAATAAAGAAGGTCAGGAAGTTGGTGAAACCTGAAATACTTACATGCCAGGAGGACTTTGGCCTTACGGCTGACCAGCAAGCCGTAGCGGTTTTGGGCGGCGCAGTCGTACTCGCCCATATCTGCGTCGCTCCCATCTTTGCGTTTCTGAAAGCTCTGGAAGAAGAGCGTCCCGTTCGCCAGCACCTGAACCCTCTCACTTGTGGGTAAAGGAACCCCATTTTTACGCCAAGTAACCATGATGGGCTCATCGCCCTGAACCCGACAGTCCAGCATGAGCGGGCGATCCCTGACGGCGATCACGTCGCTGGGCTCCACCAGGAAGGAGAGCTCCGAGGCCAAACAACAACCTGAACACAGGAGGAGAAAAAACATTTAATCAGGGAGAGAAATGTCTGAATGTTTATCTGTTTACACAGGAGTGTACTCAGGTGTGTAAACATTAACCCTTTAAAGCATCCTGAAGGCTGGGAAAGGGATTGTAAAGCTAACTACAGAAAACAGAAAAGGTGTTTCTAGACCAACATCAGCTTGAATGTTTTTAAAGAAATCTAAACCAAAGATTTTCTGCATTTTTTGAGTGAAAATGTAAAGTCATGGACACATCAATGAGTATCAGTTGCAGGGAAACAGGCTCTACACTCAGCACACTGGTGGATCAAACATAAAAAATATGTCCAAATGACCTCCATTCAAAGTGTATTTCTAACCCCTGCAGGCTCAGGTTGTTATTCTAAGTTCTGACAACATTACAGAAAGGCTCCCCACGAAGCAGACCTTTTAGTCGATTACATCACCCTCCATTATTGAAAACTGTAATTCAACCTCTGCTCCTTGTACCAGAACACAGGAGTTGCTGGTTTACCTATCTACCTACCTAGCTGGTTTGTTTGTGTTCTTGTTTGAATTTGGTATGTTCAATGAAAGGGATCTGACACAATATATGCCTTAGGTAGACCAGAAACACTCAAGGTGATCTACAAGGTAGTATGACTCTTTTTATCAGTGGAGTCTGGTGATTTTATAGAGAGCGATGTAACAGCTGTTTCTGGTTATTAAAATCTTCCCCTTGAACAAAAAGGTTTGTCTCTGTAGGGATGCTTTCTCTAACACTGAAGAACAAACTGAGGCTGTCAGTGACAAAAACAAAAACTTTTAGTAGACACACTTAGATTGATCAAAGATTGCATCACAGCTATTACAGCCTGTTTCACCACTGCAGGCTGAAGAAATCTACTGGAGAAATTTAAAAACTGCTGGATGACCTATTGGTCATTCAAATGGTGAAACATCTTTAACAAAAAGTGCCCAGGTTTAGGAATACCCCTTAAAGAATACATGTTATTGCTAAATTGGTTAGCCTGTCGTACAAAATCACTATAAGTTCATGTTTAAACATGCAGTAACTTCTGTGTGGGAAAGCAACCTCACACTGCAGGAGTTTTCTGAATCCATACATATTAAATTTATGGTGGATCATAGAAATCCAACCATTTTTCATCACAACATCGCACATCCTATGGCTCCAGAGACAATGACCCAGGGGGAGGCTTCTCTGTTGGACACCCAGCCTTAGGAAACCTGACCCAAATTCTCAAAACCCCACAGTCAACACCAAAAACCATTTGATTTGATTGATGGTGCATTTGGTTTTGCAGCCCATAACGCTTTTACTGAAGACGAGCCACAATGGCGAGTGAATGCCAGCGAGCCATCCAGCCAGAGAGGGCCACAACAATACACAAGAACACAGGCCAGGGTTGCAGGGGTCAAATTAGGAGAGCCTCCATTGTAGCAGGAGCCGATTGTGACAATAGTGTTGTGAATATGCTTATTTGCACCCAACCCACAGCAACCTCTGTAAAAAAAAAATCCACCCCCAGCCACCCTGCACCCAAGGGCACCATCTGCCCCTTCTTATGCATCCCCTCCACCCCTCCCATCTCTTCCCATCCTTTCAGATCCATCTCCGAGGTGACTTTCCCATGCCACCAGAGCTCTCCTCGTCGCCCTTGTCCCCTCTCCGCCGTGACCTTGGTGACACTTCCCGTCTCCTGCATCTATTTTGGTGTTAATGTCCTCATATGCAAAGAAAGAACCTTGAACTCCAGCAATGGCCACTCTCCTTCCCAGCTGTGAGGCTGGAACAATCGCAGCTGCACTTGAACCTGCACCATGACTTATCAGTGTCACTGCAGAGTTTGGCATCTGTTCAGTCTAATACGGCCTTTACTTCAACTCCTGCAACATGTATTGTCAACCAGCCATCAGGCATCACACCCCACACACAGCAGCATGCAGATGAACTTGACTTTAAATTGTCTAAAGTTGTTTTTTGTTCAAGTTCTTTCCCAACCTGAAGGCTAGCTGATGTTTAATAAAATGGTACATCAATATCAGTACACATTTGTCTCTTATTAAAGAACAAATAAACCATGATGTCTTCAGATGTCTTATCAATTCTATCTAAAGGTAATAAGTGACACCACTAATGGTAAGATCCATTTTTAAACTTCAGCTTTCAGCTCAATGCAATAACTTTACAATGCTTAGTGGGGCGCATAGCACGGAAATATCGGATAAAACGTTTAAACAGTAGCAAAAAGTTCTGGAAGAAGTTGGTCTTTTAAGAGTGCCAGTTACTCCAGAAACTCAACATTAACAATGCCGTGGTTTTGGTATTAAGTGCACATTAATGTTAACTCAACTTATTTGTAACTTCTTCTGTTTAATCTTTAAATAATGTTTCTTCAAGCTGCAAGGCTCCATGGTGTTCTTTTCACTTATTATCAGACAGATTTGCCAACAAAGACAATTAAAGTATGTCATGTTATCTGACGTGGAATTTCATTATGAGTGTGGATATTTCTAAGCAATAAGAACCACAGACCAAAAAGTAATCACTTCCTTGGTTTTGGGGATGGAGGCAGAAGACCTAGAGACAAATATTTCTCAATCTTGACAACTAAAACCAAAACTATCAACGTAGATGAGCCCTCTTTAGCACCACGGCTATGTCAGAAAATACACATTTGTGAAATTTCACTTAAAGGCCTTATAACAATGTCTGGTTCCTCCAATATTTGTCGTACCACTGCACATTCAAATCACTGTGATGATCAGAAACTGGAGCAGGAGTATCCTCAACCTTGTTTGAACCCACTGCTTTTAGTTGAAAACAATTTAGCCTCAATATTTTAAGGCTTCCTGATGTTTCGAAAATTGACCCTTACACACTTCCTTTTCTGTCCTCCTGTCTCCATATCTTCCTGTGAGCGCAGATATCACTTCATAGAGCTGAATTAAAACTGAATTGGCATCTCAAGATAGTCCTTTGGTTCCAAGATTGCATTTTGGCCAAATTATTCCTCCTTCATACATCCAAAACAGGCTCAAAATGTATTGATCATTACTTCAAGTCAAACAGAAACTACTAAAACAAGCCATGCAGTAATAAAAAGCTCAGCTCAAAATTTAGAGAACTAGTTCGTCAAATTAAGATATTTTTGTTAGAGAAAGCTCTTTTTTCCACCACACACAGCTGCTCTGTAACAGAACACGGGAGTTGATGTTTTACCCCCGACTTGGTTGGTTGTTTTTTGTGTAATTATGGGAATTTTGGGCCTACTCATTCTGCACAGATTATACTTTGATGAGATTGAATTAATTATTATGTCCCCGCACATACAAATACCACAACGTTGTACATTCAACATTTTAATATCCAGCTGATATTCCTTTGGGTGTGTGCAGGTTGATGCCTCTGCTGACTATTTGGTGTAGTGGATAAAATGGTTCTAGGGTGTAATCGGGGCCACTCAGATTATAGGTAGATTTGTAAAATACAGCCAGGGATCTAACCTAAATCCTGAACATAGAGCTGAGCTCCCCCCTCCTCTTAATGATCTCTGCCATTGGCTGCACTGATGTGTCACATCAAGAAATGAGCATCTGTCCTCCGTCTAATGAGATCTCCCAACCAGCAGATTGCAGCAGCAGAGAGGATTGTGGGTCCACTGGTCAGCTGCGTCTGGACAGGCTGATAGAGCCCCGAAGCCCCCCTCCCCTGAGTTTCCACTCCCTCAGGCCTGGTAATGACATTCAGGGCTCCCATGGGGGGATTTGCTCTGCGTTCTGTGGCCACGGTTATTGAACACATGGTGTGGCAACCTGTGAGGCCTGAAGGGCCTGAGAGCATGAGAGTGATGGAGGAGAGGCAGCGGCTACAGAGAGTCAGGTTCAACACAAACATGGTTATGTCACACCTACATAACACTGTACTGCAGATTATAGCTGAAATTCCTGTCTGGTTGCTATTGGCAATCTAAAGATAATGTCTACTAGAAAGTACAAGACTGAGAACAGACTGCAGACTCTCACTTTTTCACTTTGTTTCATTCTTTTGCAACAACAAATCTAAAAAAGTAAATACTATGTCTCAACTATATGACCCAATACAGCAGTAATACAGAACCCAATGTAAGCTAACATAAGCTAACTAAAGCTAGCTTGATACAAGACAAATTGAGGCAAAGTTAAGTAATGGATTATAAGGCATTAGTAGGTATAGTAAATTGAGGTAAAAGTATTTAATAGGTTCTGAATCGGCAGTTTTGTGGTGACTCCCATTGCAAATGTCAACTTTATGCAGATGATACAATGATGTACTGAGCTGCATATAAACCAAAGTTGGTGCTTAACTGATTTTAAAAAGCTGTACAACCTTTTTGTGATTTACAAGTTGGTTTTAGTGCTAGAAGATGCAGCCCAAATTGAACATCCTATCATCACATTTTAGAGTCTGTGACTGAGTCTACAAACGTTTAAAGCATATCGCATCATATCTCAGTACAACTCTACAGAAATTATAACAGATGATTCTCTGAAATTTAAGCCTCACATCAATCTACTGGTGAAAATTGGAGGATTCAAAAAGGATAACTATAGATGTTATAGCCGTGCTCCAATTAAACTGCAACTTAAAGCAGTTTCCATCTAAACCTCTGAGGTTTGCTCATTGACTTATTGGCAACTGAAGAGGGATCAATCCCATCTTGTTAAGAATTCACATCTTAAATCCATGGATCCCCTCTGTATCTATACGGATATAAAAATAGTGTCTTGAGACTGAAAGGAGGTAAGAAAATGAGTTTAAAGCAGCTGCAGACTGGAGGAGTCAGATGCTCTCCCTGCACCCTGAACCTGCATGTGGTTTGATTAAGTACATAGCATTCCAGATTGGACCGTTTTCAATATAGGGATCGGCCCATAATGAGATTTTTTGAAGGGGGTGGGTTGTCCGGCAACCCCCCACTATCACCCCGAGCCCCTCAGGGGTCATGAGAGAGTCAGGGGTAAGGAGGATGGATGTGTGTGGGGGTTGCTTGTGTCCAGTCAGAGCTCCTCTCTCAGCCCTTCACTGCTATTGTTTGCTGGCCCTGAACTTCACAGATTCCTGCCCACCCCCCAATAAAAAAGACAGAGAAAGAGAAGGGGGTTCTGATCACCATATACAAATCCTTTCGTCAATTTATTTTCCTTTATCCTCTCTCCCGCTTTAGACATCTCCGTGTGAAAGGCAAGCTTGGATTTGCAAGTAGAATGAAAATGAGAATATTTCTTATTTCTGATCCTTTGCAAGGTTGAAGGCTTTGGTCAATGAAAAGTCTCACATCTTAAGGTTTAAGGTTCAATTTCTGTTATTTATATGATCCATAATATCCAAAAGTGCCCAAGCCTTTAATATTTTCCGTCAAATTTTCTTCAAAAGCTCACAATAAGAGAGAGATCAGTGTCAAAATTGCACAAATATGTTGGCATCAGTCCTTAAATGTTGCCAACATTTTTGTGCAATTTGGACCGTGTGCAAGAGTTTGCCTGCAAGTCAGGAACTAAAAATAAGAAATGACCCAATATTTGATGCCTGGGACCTCCTTTTTTCTGCCATGTTGTGAAAACAAGTATGACTATTGTTGGATTTTCTGGTATTGTGACAAACCTAGTGAGAGATACTTTGCATTTATTCACATTTATGTAGACATACCAAAAAAAGCTGCAAATGCTGCAAAATGTGCAATATAATATGTCCTTGTCTCTCTAATTTCCCCTTGTTGTCCTCCCCCTATAATCTGATTGGAAGGAGAAGTTAAAGCAGTGATTGTGCAGTTGAAGATGGGAATGGCTGAGCAGGCATTAAAGCCCATCGCCCCGGGGCTTCCTCCTTTGTCTCCTAATGGGAGTAAAACTCTCTCCTTTCTCTGAGGTGGCCGAGTTTCACAAACATGATGTTGTAGGGGCTGTGGGGAGGGGGGAGGGGGGGGGTCTACTCTGCAGAGGTCTTTTGTTTAAGCTAAGTGCTGGTCAGTTTCTAAGTGTCATGTGTCAAGTTCAATGTCTTAACTCATATCATCTTCAGCTACTTCATGTTTGTTTAAAAGACTCCATGTGCAGTTTAAACAGTTCAAGACAGCTGGTTTTAAAAGTTTAATGAAGATCAATGTAGTCCAAACTGATGTTACTTTGGGAAATATAAACCTCTCTACATTTCTACAACACTCTGCAGAAATGACTTTTAAAATGTTCAATACATTTTATTTGAGAGGACATCATTGTTACCAGGTAGTCTTCATATTTGAGCATTCTTTATATTTCATGTTTGAAGGTTGTTTCTCTGTCACTGAAACTTTACGACTGATTTGACTTCCTGTTTTCAGTCAACACTTTTAAAGTGATCTGTGGATTCTTTGAGACAAAATAACTCTTTTAAATAAATCTTAACACTTCCACTCTGAAGTATGTTGCTCCATTCTGGAAACTTTCTTTTTCTTTTTCTTTCTTTTTATTCTGCCTTTTTGCAGTGCATCCATTCAAAGAAGAAAATAACAAATCTGATAAAAGTGACTAAATTCTGATTCAAATTAAGAAATCAGATATTTAATCAAATGTTGAAATGTGTGAGCCTCAGAAGCAGCTTTGTTCGAACCAGGACAAGATACCAGATTTTTAAACTTTGAAACAATTCTCGTAAAAATGTTATCGAATCGATTTCGAAGCCAAATCC